ACATTGATATTATTGGTTGGTTTTTGATGATGGGTCTGAAGAAAACTTTGCCCCTCCCCCTGTGAGCCTAGACTCCTTGAATACCCTCACGATATAGCAGCGGGCTTCCCCCAGAGCCAGTGACCTAAGAGAAAGTGTAGCAGTAGCACAATGGTAGCTTTATGACCTAGCTTTGAAGGTCACATTTTGTCATTTCTGTAATATGCTATTGATTGTGCAAGTCAGCTCTATTTAGTGTTAGAGGAGAATACTCAATGGAATGAATTTTAGGAGGCAGCACTCTCTAGGGGACCAACTGATCACCTACCACACCATTCTACCCTTCTTTTTATATTTGAGAAAACAGAGATCCATACAAGTGAGGTATGCCCAAGGCCACAGAGCCTAAATATTTCAGTATTTGCTTTTCTTTCAACCCTACTGCCCCTCACGACCCATCATTTCTCATATTTATTTAAAACACCAAATGTTGTTTATCTTTGGGGAGGCTAGAAAAATTATTTCCAAATGTGGAGTCAATTTCCTTGACTTTTCTTTTTAACAGAGGAAGCATTTATAAGCTAGACAACATATAAGCAAATTGTGTCTCTGAGCACTTGGGAAAGGGTTTCTTCACTTCCCAGAGTCATTAGGGAGGAGGGAGGAGAGAGCTGAACCTCTCAGGGAATGCAGATTTAGGAGTGAACTAAAACTTCAGCGTTGGAGATATTTTAGCTTCTGTACATCGTTCCCCTTTATTGAAGTGTGCCCATATTGTGATCATTTTTCTGCTTTCTCCATTGATCTCTGAGGGTACAAACAAGAACAAAAAGAAGAAAGCAGAGTGTATCACCCACATCAAGCCATGGGAGGGGCACCCTCCTCGGAGTTGCTGGCTCATTCATTCCAGATGCGAGGCAGGAACTGGCCACAGGGACACCCCCAGGAGAAGCACAGATTTTTTTTTTCCTGCAGAAACTTGTTTCTGAAAAAATAAACACACAGATTTTAAAGCTCAAAACTGTGATAAATACTATCAATTCTTTGCTTTTCGGCTAAGAAACAGCTTCCTTGAAACAGCCATATTCTAAGAAATGAAACAAGAAGAAAGAAATCTTTGTATATTCTCCATCCCTTTTCAATCTGTTTTTTCTTTTCAGAAAAAAAAATTACAAGGCCTGTCATCTCCGATCAACTTAACTAGTCAGGAGACACTACGCTTCTCTCCCTGCCTGACCTATTTTGTAATGGGGCCCTCTCCTTTGCCGGCAGACCCGCTCTCCTGAGTTCCATTTATAGCAAGCATTTATTAATGGTTAAATCGCTAGGAAAAGATCTCTCTCCTTTCCAAGACTTATTTCCCCCACTCAATAAATGAAACCATGGGAGCCGAGAAGCTGTCTGTTTCTGCCTTATTTAAGCTCAGATTCTTTCTGGCCCACAGAATACTGTGAGCCAGAATTTACAGTCGAGCACTCACTGACTGCCCAGCAGTTTGTGGTCACTTGTAATTTATCTCATATTTTGTATGCCAACTAATGCTTGTGAGGCCCTTGGGATTTTTTCCTCAGCATTTGACGGAAGTTCGAGATCTGCAGCAGAAATCAGCCTCTGCCCCCACCTTTGCTGATGGAGAAGGGCCGCCTTTCTCGAAAAATCCTCAGGCCAGGGCCCTTGGACAATTGTTATGAGATTCTGATATACTTGACCCCTCCTTTCACCTTGAAAGCTTTTCAAACTCCTTTCCTCTGCCATTCTTGCTGCTATCACACAGGTGACTTCGCTGGACAATTGGAGCATCGGTGGCCCATGGCTGTCAAAATGACCTGTGCACCTCAGTCCGCAAAGACGTTTCTCACTTGATTGAAGTAGCCAAAGTCCTGTAGACAACAATCTTCAAAACAAGAAAACCAGGGGGGGCTGGAGCAATAGCACAGAGGGTAGGGTGTTTGCCTTGCACGCAGCCAACCCGAGTTCGATTCCCAGCATCCCATATGGTCCCCTGAGCACTGCCAGGAGTAATTCCTGAGTGCAAAGCCAGGAGTAACCCCTGAGCATCGCCGAGTGTGACCCCAAAAAGCAAAAAAAAAAAAACCAAGAAAACCATGAAGGTGACAATGTCACTGCCCTGCTAGAAATACTTCAGTGTCTCCCCGTTGCTCTTAGGCACGAGCAACGGGCTTGCTCACACGCACCATTTCCTCCCATCCCACATCTTGCATTTCTGCACACACAGGACATCCCTTGCTGATAGCAGAGTGCAACTGCCCCAGTTCATGGAGGTGCTGTGCTGATGAGGCCTTTATTCATGCTCAGAAGATTCTTCTCCAAATCCTTCCTCTCCTCCCCATTAGCTAGCTAACTAATACCCATTGCTCAGTTTTCAAGTACTACTTTTTTCAAATTTTATTTTAATAAATGACTGTGAGATACAATTACAAACTTACACATGTTCGTGGTTATGTTTCAGTCATACAATGTTCAAGTACCCTTCTCTCCACCAGTGCCCATTCTCCACCACCAATGTTCCCAGTATCCCTCTCTCCTCTGAATTGCCTTTTTATGGCCTCTCGGCCTGGGAAGAGCACCCAGCTTCCTGTGCTTGTCTGCTATGGTGGGGGGGGGGGGGCATCACTGACTTTATTGTCTGCTTTTCCTCCTAGTCAGTAAATTCCACGAATGGGGATGACTCATCCTCTAGTGTCTCGGCAGGACACTGCCCTGAGCCACTACACACACAGAGCTGGGACTGCCCCCACCCTGCCTCTGAGTGTGGCTTGAAAAGTTCCCTCAAAATGACTCCCCCCAATTTTTCAAATTAAATCTAAACCCCCCCTTAGAATAATGATGTGGTTTAATAATGTTATTCACCAGGTGCAAGTGGTCATTGAAGTCTCTTACAGGGATCGTTTAGCAAGACAGGTAAATCTAATTTCCCAGAAGAGGCCCTTAATCTAGTTGAAGTTGATCAGAAAACCACTCAGACCTTCTATCAGAAACGTTCCACAGAAGGGACTGTTTGGTGCAGTGGGATGCACAGCTGCCCTTAGCCTTGGCTCTATTGATATTTAATTCAGGTTACTCTTTGGGAGTCATCCTGGCCACTGTAAGGAGCTTAGAAGATCTCTGGCCTGTACTCCCCCAATGCTATTTGCACCCCGTCTCCCAGTTGCCATGACCCTATATATCTCCATATACTGTTGCATGTTCATAGGGGCCTGGGAGTGGACAGAATACAGTCCTACCTACACCCACACATTGGGAACTGCTGCCCTAAACCCTCGAGTCCCTGTGTGTGCTCCATGCCCAAGAAATTGCACATCTCAGGGAGGTGGATTCTAGAAATGCACATCCTTAGACCCTTCTAGAGACCCTTGGGATTGCATTGAAGATGACCACAATCTACTGGTGAGGCCTGGGCACATCTGAGGCTGACAGAACTTTTAGGTCAGTGGGACTTGACTTCGGTAGCTTAGCGGAGGCCTGGGAAGCTTTAAAAGTACTGAGACACTGGGGTCATTCCTCTGGGGTGGCCCAGCCTTTGGATTTTTCAAACCTCCAGGAAATTCTAATGAGCAGTCAAGTTTGAGCTCCTTTTGTGGGTGGTTCTAAAGGACTCACTCATAACTCTGGGAGTGATTTAGAATAACCTATAAATGAGACCCTTGTCTTCAAACTGATGCTTTTTTCCTTCTCATGAACACATTTCTTTTGTTGACCCTGTCACTTTTAAGACAAAATTACAGGCCTTTGACGATGGCTTGTTTCACGAGGTAGGATCTGGCTCTAACTAACATAAAAGAATGGTTGGAATGATTAGGGGGAAAAATAAAAGACACTGATTAAGTTTTCCCAGATAGCTTTTCAAAGAAGATGCATCAAAATCATGCTAATTTTAAAACGTGTTTCTGTACTTAGCAAAACATGCAAATAGTAAACAGTGAACTCTGTCAAGAAAATTGTTTTGATGAAATGTACAATTATATAAGGAGCCCATGCAAATTGAGAAGCGACACAATGATACCTTAAGAGATAAATAAAGGAAACGAACTCAATTCTCAAAGTGGATGTATAATTAGCAGAGCATAAGGAAATGTGCAGCCTCCCTAGTAATCAAGGGATTCTCAACAGTTACCAATTCTCCTTTTCTAAAACTCACAAAGATGAGTGGCAAAAAAATCCTGAAGCAGACATTGGCTGATTCTCTCAACACAGATGGTGTGTCAACTGGCTAGTGGACATGAGGCTTAGTAAATGGAAGAAGTTGTTGCTAATGTGGGTTTATATGTCCCCCAACTCAATGCTGATGGAAGTTCATCCAAAAGAAAAATGTTCATGTGGAGCCTAAATGTCCAATAACAGAATTATGATGAAGTAGACTTTGGTGAAACCGTTGGATGAAATACTGCAAACTCAGTGTGTGACACCATGAGTAAGGAATAAACAAAGAATATTATAGAACACTGGAAAAATGGCTCAGCAATCCAGTAGCTTTGGACAATTCTACATTAAATTGTTCTTATAACCAATGTATCTAATATACATTTGTATAACTCAAATTCCCAGGGAGCCCTAAAATGAAGAAAATGGCCTATCATTACTTAAATCATTTTTCAGTTTTTCTGATCATGGAAAATTTCCTCTCCATCCCATTCCATTCCCTCCTTTCCTCTTCTTTTAGAATTGGAACTTGTTGTATCATCTCCGGGAAGTGGTATTTGTCAAACAACTGGAAAAACGAATCCTCAAGTATTTAGTATTATTACACATTTTAAAATAATAAATATTTATCAGTGTTCAATTAATAAATTTTTGGTACCATTTAATAAAAGGCCCTCCCGTTGATCATCGATTTGCTCGAGCGGGCCCAGTAACGTCTCCATTGGAGACTTTGTTGTTACTGTGTCTGGCATATCGAATACTCTCGGTAGCTTGCCGAGTTCTCCGAGAGGGGCAGAGGAATTGAACTCGGGTCGGCCATGTTGGCCGCTTGTAAGGCGAACGCCCTACCCGCTGTGCTATCGCTCCAGCTTTGGCAGCACATATACTAAAATTGGAACGATACAGAGAAGATTAGCATGGCCCCTGCGCAAGGATGACCATTTAATAATTGTGTGAAAATACAAGCCATATGTATCTCCATTTTAAAGTTAATCAAATAGGGCCGGATAGATAGTACAGTGGGTAGGACACTTGCCTTGTTTGTGACTGACCTGGGTTCTACCTATGGCACCCCATATGGTCCTTTGAGCTGCAGGAGGGTTCCTGAGAGCACAGCCAGGAATAATCCCTGAGCAGTGCTGGGTGTAGCCCAAAACAAACAAAATGTTCATCAATATTTCACTTAATATTTGTGCCTTTTCAGGCTTGAGCAATAGTACAGTGGGTAGGGTCTTTCATGTGGCTTACTCTGGTTCGATCCCCAGTATCCCATCCTTGAGCCTACTAGGAATGAACTCTGAGTCCAAAGCCCGGAATAAGACCTGAGCACTACCGGGTTTGACCCCAAAACAAAAAATAAATTATACTTTTTATGCTATTAAAATATTAAAAAGAAATTTCTAAGACTTTTAAAATTCATTCTATTTTTACATTTTTAATCAGTTGCGCATCTTTGGTTTACAATACTATTGATAATAGTTTCTCATATACATAATTCCAACATCATACCCATCATCAGTGTACCCTTCATCTTCTAAGGACCCCAACATCCCTCCTGTTTCTTCTCAAAACCTCCTCCTCCAACTTAATTGTGTGGATCAGTTCTTCTATTATGTTGCTTTCTTAACATTGTTTTTTGTTTGTTTGCTTGCTTGTTTTTGTTTTGGGGCTGACACCTGGCAGTACTCAGGGCTTACTCCTGTCTCTATGTTCAGGGATCGCTCCTGGTGGGCTTGAGGGACCATATGGGATTCTACGGATAGAACCCTAGGTTGGCAGCATGGAAGGCAAGCACCCTGCCATCTGTACTATCACTACAGCTCAATCTTTGGTCCTTTGTTGCCACCTCGCTTTGTATCTTTAAGTCCCACATATGACAGAGATCTTTCAGTATCTATCTTTTCTAACTTCACTCCGCATAGTATCCTCTAGTTCCATCCATATTGCTGAAAATTGCATAATCCAAGACATGCAACAGTAAAGTTAAAAGCTATTCATGGGATTAAGAGTAAATTATTGTCAAATTACTGCCTCACATCACTCTTTCTATATATATGTATATAAATATATATATCTTTATATATAGATTGGTTCATGCATAGCTAATGTACTGTCAGTACCGTCAGATTACTTAAAATTTTTTGGAGAGTTTTAGAAAGACATTAGCAACAATGAAAGAACTCCATATAAGCTTTAATCCTAAACAGAGCCAGAACTAGCTATGTGACCTTGGGCAAGTGTCTCCACTTCTATGGATTTCCATTTCCAATTTCCAAAATGAGGAGTTATGGAAACTCTTGCTCCATTCATCTTTGAAAATAGTATTTTATATTTTAGAGGATTATCAGGTTCTATAGATATGCCTTTGCCTGATGATGTATCAAATGCCAGATTTTTATTTAAATACCAAGCCTTTAGCCCGTTAACTAACATTGTTACTGTACACAGTGCCAGTCACTGTAAGGGGATCACTGAGACAATATCCAGTCCAGAATGCCTTCTTGGAGAGTCTTTCTTATTACAGGGATTCTCTTATGTCAGAAAAAAATGGTTTCTGTTAGGATATTTCAAAACCTCCGATTGCCACAGACTACTGCACAAAAATCAAGCAATGTCAGGTCTCTTACATTATCTCCGTTGCTCCTAGGCTGCTCTGGCAGGCTTCAGAGGGGTTTGCCGTCTTGGGACACTCAGATAAGCTCTCGATTAAGACAGCAGTCTGGGGGTCAGAGAGATAATACTGGTGTTAAGGCACTTGCCTGCCATGTGGCTGACCTGGGTCCTACCCCCAAGTCATATGGTCCTTCAGGCATTGCCAGGAGTGATCCCTGAGTATAGAGTCAGGAGGAATCCTTGAGCACAGCCAGGTTTGGTCCCAAAACAAAACAAAACAAAACAAAAAGATAGCAATGTCCTTGGATCGGTCACTTGATGAACCTCTAGGTGTTACTCAATTCTACTTTGCTAGGAATGCCTTGGTCTAGGATTTCTCTAGAAAACTTGCATTTTAGAAAGAGCAAAGAAGTCTATTTTAAGCAAGACCCAGAGTCATAAGTGGTCTTGGATCATGCTTCGTTGTTCACCCCAGTCCCCGGGAACAAATGCAAACATTTTTAATCGGGGTCCTACAAGTGTCAGGGGTATAATTTAGGGCTTCACTCATGCTAGGCATATGTTTTACCATTTGAGTCATATATATAACTCTAAAATGCAGTGTTACCTCAATTATCCATCCCAATTCTGCCTTACCACCCCAGACAACAAGCTCTCAATACAATCGAATGAAAAAATAGGTTCTCCTTGGAGCCAGTTTTAATGAGGTTTGACCTGGACATGTAAAAGACATGTAAAAAATAAGACATGTAAAAAAAAAGACATGTTCCGCCCTCTCCTCTCTGGAAAGAAATATGGTGGCCGCATGGGAGCCTTGTGGACAGCAGGTATGAGCCCGGGGTGAGGGGGCGACTGAAACCTCATGGGAAGGGGGGCGTTCTGGCCCATCCTTCACACCCTACCGAGGTCACCAGTTGCCCCCCACGTGCGGCTCTCTGGCACGGCCATGACTCCAGAGCACAGAAACCAATCTTTTAATTATCTGACTCTCAGTAGAAATACTTCCAGGGTTAATAAGTAAAATAGCAGAAATCCAAAACTGCACGGCCACGATAGCGGCTGTGTGACGTTATTTAATTCTTGAACCCAGCTGTAGAAAGCAAATCATTTCACAATGCTTTTTCAGCATGGCTGATTGGGGGGGTTAAACTCTAAATAATAATGGTGCAACTTTCATCGAAACAATGAAGCTAGTCAAAGTAGATAGAGTGTTAACTAGAGTTCATCTGCCTCACAGGGCATTGGGTGGGTGGGGGGGTTTATTGGGGTTCTTCATGGTGAAAAATAAGTATTGGTAAAGGGAAATGTGATTGATATTTGCATGATCGAGACCTAAACCTGAAAGCTTTGTAACTTTTCCCACAGCGATTCAATAAATAAATAAATTATTTAAAAAAACAAACAAACAAAAGACATGTTGTCTTTTTTTAAAGTCACTTAAATTCTAGCACCTAACACTACATGAATTTTGATTTCAGCTCCAGAATGTATCAAAAAACAAAACATAGAGAAATGAAATCAAAAGTCTTGCTCTGTGTGCCTGGCTCTCAGTTCTTCTTTTACTAATTTCTCATGCAAACATTGCAGTTTTCACGTTAATCACTGAAGGCTGGTGTGTGGGGGGGAGTGCACACAAGCTAATTTGGGAGGTTGTTTCCCACCTTTAGAGATACGTTCCTACAGGTTCCACTTTCAGTTTTGTTTCTTGTATTTTGTGAGTGGTCATTGGGGAAAAAAGAAAGTTCTGAATTTAGGCTTATCTGGGAGCAGATGAAACCAGTGTACTTCCGGTCCTTCTGATCTAGGTGTGCAATAGGATCCTCATTTGTGCCTTTCCCCATCTTCCCCCTCAGTTCCTTGGGTTGGTAATGATGACCCAGGATGGTGTTTTAATGTACTTTACTCCGCTGCATTGGGTTTTTGGTTTGTTTAGGGGCCACACCCAGTGATGCTCGGGGATTACTCCTGGCAAGCTTGGGGGATGATATGGGATTCTGGGGATTGAACCCGGGTCAGCTGCACACAAGGCAAGCACCTTACGCATTATACTATCTCTTCGGCCCCTGCTGCAGTGGTTTTTCAGTTGCTGCTCATTGGCCCACTGCTCAGACTGGCCCACTCTTCAGGTGTTGAAACCTCTGCTACAAACGTTAGACTTTTATTTTTATCTCTGATGCCAGCTCATACACTGCACTGATGCCTGCAGACAAACACCAGAGCTCCAACTAGTTGGCTTTGGGTCCATGGTAGGTGACTGCATATAGAATGTGATGGGAACATGGGTTTTCTGTCTCCTGTTGAGTGTCACTGTGTCTCTGTAGTTTAGAACCAGGCAGTAGGAAGTGGCCACTCTACTGTCCTGGTGTCTGTCAAAATGCCCAGTACAGACCAGACTTGCATGGATTCTGTTTCCTGAGTGATGTATGTGTGGCTGTCGAGACACTGAGTAACATAGCTATAAATGGGGCATGGCGAGGCATAAACATCACATGCTCCTCAGTCTGGACGTGGGGTGACACAGGGAGATATTTGGTGTGTGAGCCTTGCTTTGGCCAAAGTGTACCTGTCCTGTGTGTGAACTAGAAGGTGAGCACTAAAAGTTGCTTTTCTTGACTTGCCTATAAAATGTGTGCGGGGTAGCTGAGCGGACCAACCGGAAGGGCACCTCACAATTCCCCATCATTCTCAAAAATGTCCCCACTGGGAGAATAGGACACAGGAGAATAGCTGACAGCTGGTGTCTAGGCAGCAAAGCAGTGTGGTCTGGGAGTCCGCCCAACACACTTGCATTCCCACAACTCGACAAACAAGTGTGCTTTCCATCATGGGCAATTTTAGCTCTGGATTCCGGCCCATTGTTCCCATTGCTAAATTTGAGCCCTGCTTCAGGTCTCCAGATTCCAGAATGCTCAGATTCTGCTAACTTACAGGCCTTGAGAACCTGCTGAGCCCCACAAACCAAGGATTGGCCCTGGTCCTCTGGGGCCTGTACCCTCCTGGAAGGACCTCCTATGACCTAGGCCATCAGTGAGCTCCTTGTGTCCAGGGTTGCTGCCCTCTAGGATTCTTCTGAGAACCAAGAGACAAAGTGAAAACTTTTGGGGCAGAGGGGCAGCAGAGGCAGCTGACAGTAAAACTAATGATATAACTCTAGAGACACTGGTGGCACCTGGCACATGATGGGTGCTCAGAAATGGCACCACTGCTATCAGCTGCATCTGGACCCCACCATGAAGCACAAGCTGATGGCAGTGACCCAGCACTCAGCTCTGTAAACAGCTGCTCAGACTCCCCCAATCCTCACCTGGAAAAGGAAGACATCCTTTGGGGCTAGGGTTGCACCAAGAATTCGTAGCAGGGCTGGGGAGCCAACTCGATGGGCTGGAGCATGTGGCTTGCATGCAGGAGACCCCAAGTTCAATCTCAAAACCTCAATTCCCATCTCATCAATGCCTGGTATGACTCTATCCAACTGTTAACTGGAGTGACCCCTGGGACCCTGGAACATTTAGGAGCCCCCCCCCATGAATAATTATGAGCAGGGGTCAGTGACAAAGACAAGAGCGAGGTCCAGATTTCAATTCCTAATGCACCTACATGGGTCCAGCTCAGTCCTGGCAGCTCCCCTAGCACCAAATCCCAGTGTGTGATGCCCAGCTTATGGCAACCAAGTGAGTGGGTACCACAGCTAACAACTATGTGAGCCCCTTGTGCCTGTGTGACCCCACCCTATCATGGCAACAGCAATGAAGGGAAGCAGGGAAAAGAATCCGAGCGTTAATTTTTCTAAAGAAGACATCTCAGGGGCCGCAATGGTCTGCATGAACTGGATTTCATTATATTTCATAAACCTCTAAAGTCAGCTAAACCCAGGTGTTAGGGGACATCTTTGAGTGGACTCCCCTCCATTCCTCAGTGTAAACATAATTCACTCAGGCAGCATATGTGAGGGTCTAAGTTCATACCAAACAAGTTAGACAGATGCCTCCTATTTCTGGGATGCAGATGGTGCATTGAGGTCTGGATAATTCTGGGAGCAATATCACCCCTCCCAGAACGTGCTTTGGTGACAATTTGTTAGGAATCATCACCCTTCCCTGCCACCCTGAGAAGTCCCAGGAATGTCTCAGCTTCTGAAGGACTGAGCCTCGCACTTAACTTGTGCATATCCTGGCCACGAGAAGGTTCTGTCTTGGGCTTAGGCAGCACTAAGAGCACCACTGGGATTGTTGCTGTGTGGTACATCAGATCACCACCCAGCTTTCCCGCACTCATCACTCCCAACCTCCAATCCAATGTCTTAAAACAAAACCATTCCCCTGATTCATGTGTTTGGCCTTAGCTGAGCTAGGCTGAGCTCACCCACTCATGTCTGAGAGCTCAGCTTAAAGTAGGCTTGGTTGGGGAGCACTAGCTGGGTGCTCAGAGCGCCTAGGTACACCCTCTTCATGGCATTGTTTAGGGTTAAGAGTCATGAAATACATGTGACTCCTCTGAGGTTTAAGATGCTCTTGTTTCTGCCTGCTTTTTCCTAGTCAAAGCAAATCACACAGGCAGATCCAGGCCCAAGAAACTATGTGCCACCACAATGTCCCCAAAGTACAAAGTTACATAGACTATGGGAGAATCAAGAGCTATACATGCAAATTTACCACAGTCACTAAAGTTTTTGCACATCATCAAAAAAAGCTTAGCTTTTATACTTGAATCCTTCCGGAGGAAGCTACCATAATTTTGTTGTTTTTCCATTTCAGTTTTTGTTTCGGGGCCATGCTCAGCAATACTTAGGTATATTCCTGGCTTTGCACTCAGGAATTACTCTTGGCAGGGATATCAGGGGTTGAACTCAGGTCGGCCACGTGCACTGGAAGTGCCTTAGCTACTGGACTAACACTCTGGCCCCTGTTTCCATTTTTACGAAGGCACCATGATTGGCAATACTTGTATTCTGTTCATGAGAATTTCATTCATACACTGCTTCAACATCCCACTCACCACCAGAGTGCCTGCTTCCGTCCACCAGTGTCCCAAAGACCCTATCCATCTTACCATCCACTAGCCCATAAGCTCAGTTCTGTAGACCAACTCTACAGTTCTGCAGCCTTTGCTCATCTATTGCTCCCTTACTTCAGTTTTTGCTTTGGACCACATCCTTTGGTGTTTAAGGACTACTCCCATCTCTGTACTTGAGGGTTGCTCTTGCCAGTGTTAGGGGGATCATGGGGATGCTGAACATCAAATCTGGGCCTCCAGTAGACAAAGCATGTGTTCCATTCCATGAAACTCCTAATTTCGTTTGTAGTTAGTTAAATCTCAAGAGCCACAGGAAATGTTCTGTTTTCTACTCATAGTTCACCTTTATGTTCATGGAACTGAGAGGTGAAGCTTCCAAGTACCAAAGAGGCCTTCATTTTTGTCTTGTTCTTATGGTGATGATTTATATCCTTTCCCTAAAACTATCTCATAAAACTAAACTAATGGTCCTTTGGTCTCTTTTACAGGCTTGGTGTGAAGAATTGAAGAGGAAGAGAATGGATTTGAATGAAAACAGCCTACTAAAAATTTTATATATTTGTATGAGATTATGACCCCCTTGACTGCCTGAGATTCAAGCAGAAATGTTCTATTTATACATTTCTATCTCTTCCTTCTAGTTGGTTGCATTTCATATTTTGATTGACCTACAAGCTTAGCACTTCACAGAGAAAATCATCAGATAAATTCACTATGTGGAGGGTGTGGGTTGGAAGAGAGATATGATAGTACGGAGGGGGACATATAAAATATATGTAAGAATGATTTCAATGGAAAGTTCTCTAGAAGCTACTTCCCACACTATTTTGGTCAATATTTGAACTGTATTTTAGTTCTTCGCCTTCTAGATCATATCAATAAACTTTTTACGAGTTCAATAAATATTTGAGTAAATGTAAAATGTGAATCTAGACTAAATTAATTTTCATATCTTCAGAGAGCTACATGTTCTCCCACTTGGAGAGAAATGAGATACGAGAGCCAGTTAGACTGCCCAGTGTCTATGTAGGGGTTTCTCACTCTGATTTATGGGGGACCAGGGGTAAGACTATGGCTGACTGATCATTGCAAATGAAGTTAAATATTGCCCGAAGAATGAGCATTGTTGATGTTCCTTCTCCCAGGGTGACCTTTATGGTGAATGAATTTTACTTCCATAGAGGTTCAGAAATTCCCTTTAGCCAGATGGAATTGCGTTCCTTTCAAGGCACAATAAAATGAAGCTGAGAGGTCAGAATAAAAGAAAACATCTAATCAGAATTTAGCTGTCCAAAGAAAGAGGAAATGTATTACCTGCTGCAAAGAGGGAGCACCTCTCTGAGAGGCAATCAGGGATCAACACGAGCATAAACCTGAGGGAGTCCTCCAGGCCCCTCTAGTGACTTCCATTTTTCCCGAGATGTGCAGGCAACTTCACACTATGAAAATTTGAAGGACTGAGTCCTTTCTTCTGATTGGGGGTCTTCACCTGGAGGTTCTCAGGGAGTACTCCAGATCCAGTGCTCAGGAGGCACTCCTGGAAGTGCTCAAGGGACCATATGTGGTGCTGGGGATCAAACTGGGGTGAGCTGCATGCAAGGCAAACTCTAAGCCTATGTACTATTTGTCTGGACCAGGACGGGTTCTTAAGAGCATGTTTTAAGGGCAAACATGTCACTTACCTGGTATACAGAGGCCCCAATACCACGTTTTGCTTCAACGCTACCGTTTGCCAACAAAAATTAGATATGCTTGTTCCATCCCAAGTATCCATGAGCTTTTCTGTTTCAAAGCTCTTCATTTCCAAAAGCAAGGCCACGATTGCACACTGTGGCAACCAAGCAATCAGGAACCAACTGCAGAGCCTGTGCTACCTGATGAGCTTAGGTTTTGCTGAAGAGATGCTCAGTTTTGTGTTGTGGAGCTCAGTCATCTTGCTGGGGTACGGCTTAGCCTGGTGAGGTCATGCTAATATAGACATAGCGGGGCGTCGCTACCAGAGCAAAACACGGCAGCCGAACCACCTGTCAGCAGAGCAGCTCCTGAATAAGATGGCACTGTGTTGTCCCCGGCTGATCCATTCCTTCTGAATTAGATTAGTTGTGTCGGGTTATGAAATTTACCTCTGTCTTCCCTTTGTTTACATAGAAATGATCCATGTTCAGCTTCAAAATGAAATTTGGGTTTAATAAAACACTGTCTTCATATTGCCGTGCAGTCTCCCAAGTAACTATGCAGCGTAGCATGACCCAAGCCATTAGACAGCATCAATGGGAGAGTTGAGAGTTTGACGTTTCTGGGCATTTTATTCTGTTCAGGTTCAAAGTATAAGAGCTTTCACAAGTCCCATATTATCATGTGTGGGATAATGAGCTTAATATAGGCAAAGGGAGTTTATTTGTAAGGAGGTTAGAATTCTCAAAATTCATATTTCACACTGACTGGCTTTAAAAAAAACATACAGCAGTTGCAACTATCTGATTCTGTTACACATTTGTAAACAATAATTGTGCAGCATTTGGAAGGGCACAAGTAGTTGAAAGTTTCTCTCTATGAATAGCTCAGGGGCTATTCCCCTCACTGTGCTCAGGAGGGACCTGTAGACCTTATGAGCTGATGGGGATCTGAACCACGGTTGCACCTTCTGCAGCCATATGCAAACCAAGTGCCTCTTGTGCTGTTTAAAAGAACACAGCTACTCTGTAATGGGGCCAGAGAGACAGAGGCTCACATAGCACAGCCCCTCTGCCCACAGCACCTGGCTGCAGGCTTATGCCAGCAGCTCCATGCTAAGTGCTGTGAGAACATGGTACATTCTCCCAGAAAATCACCTGGCTGACCAGCCCTGCTGCGAGTCCCTCTCCCCAGATCCCTCCCTGTTGTGGGACTCCCCCACTCTTGTACTGAACAGAGTGAAGGGATCAGGCCCCATAGGGTTGAGGAACATGTGGGACACTTTTTGGAGCAGATGCCACCTAGTACCCCACTCTCGAGAATCTTCTCCATCACTGCTTTCCTTAAAAAATAAGATTTGCAGGGCTGGAGCAATAGTACAGTGGGTGAAGGCATTTGTTCTGCATGTGATCAACCCGGGTTTGATTCTCAGCATCCCACATGGTCCCCAAGCACCACCAGGAGTAACCCTTGTGCATCACTGGGTGTGACACACAAAAAATAATAATAAAAAAGATTTGCATTTCAAAAGCGCAGATTGGAAGATTTTTGCCTCCAAGGTTTTTTTATGAGTAGCTGAATGACACAGTAGATTTTTAAAAGTTAGGTCCAGGTCAAGGGAGGATAATAATCACTTAAACTGATTTAGCATTTTAATTAAAGGAGTTTAGGGGCAAGGGAGATGCCTGCCTCAAAGCAGAGTTTTCCCTCAGATCCTGGGCACTGTGGTCCCAGCTCTCAGCACTGCTGGGGAAGTCCCAAATCAATACATCCAGTGATTCCCCGAGAAAGCTCTCACGATGCTTAGCACCCTATTCCTGCGTTGAATGCACTGTTCCCTATAAGCCCTTCTCCTACATTCCTGAGGAGACCTGACACTGGGGGTTCCCTCCAAGAGAAAACGGGCCAAAGTTCAGAGACAGTAAGAATAAGATTCATTTGGAACCATTTGATCAAATATTTCTAGTCTGAAGGGATGTGGCATATTCTCATTCCTTGGTAATCAATCTAGCTTGTAAACAGAAATTACATTTAACTTGGTCACTGATACTCCTTTGGGAATGAAGCCTTCCCCAAAACATAGACGTCGACAGAGCTCAGAGCCACATTGGGGGCCACACTGCCAGGCATTGAATTGAAAACCCCACTTGGAGATAACTCACTGCAAGTACCATTTATGACATCGCTGTGTTTCTGCATGGGATACTCTATGTGCTGAGCACGGATCAGACCTATGTGCTGCTGTGTTGTTTGGGCTTGAGAGCATATATCAGGCTCATTGCTTTGCCCTCAGCAAAGAACCAGCCTACTCGTATTGTGAGCCTATAGCAGGCCACAATGTATGTGTGTGTGTGTGTGTGTGTGTGTGTATGCTGATTATAAAAAGGATTCAGTGTAAATCAGATTGCAGCCTTAACAACGCCATCACCTAAAGGTATTCTTCAGGCAAAGAAAAATAGCTTCAATTAAGCAATCACGTACACTTTCTGGGATGCACCCGACCTCATATTCTTCAACCCCATGCTTGCTTATTAAGGGAGAAGAATTCCCAGAACATCTGACTTCTCTGGTGGAAATAATTCAGTGGAGAGATGTTACAAGCAGATAACAAGGCTCTTTTTTATGACCTGCTCATCCCCTGGTTCAGTGAAAATCGATTCATGATGCAGATGCAGGCTTGGTGGGGGGGAGCTCAGGGAAGGGGTCTCTCCTTTGGGCTTCACATGGCGGCAGACAAGTTGCTAAGTCAAAGGAATTTTGTCTGCCCTCTGCCAGGCGCCTTTTCCAATCTGTGGGCAAAGTGGGACAGAACACTGGGGATGGGAGGTGCAGGGAGCATTTCACCCCCTGTGTGGGTGGCACAGAGTCTCTAGACATCCAGGGCAAGAGCTGTGGGCTTCTGGGAACTCTTCCTGCTGCATAGTATTGCTCAGTGGCGATAGTGCAGGAAGCAGGGCAGAGTGGCCTGGGGGAATTTCTGTGCAAAGCCTTTATGGAATACACCAATTTTCACCCTCCTGCCCACACAAGTCACGTCGCATTACAGCTAATGGCAGACTTTAGGCGCAAAACAGAACAAAACAAAAACTACCTGGGGAAGGTTTTGTACTTTTGGATAGCCTCGTTTTTGCTGTGTCTTCTGGCTCTGGCCCTGCAGGCATAGCTTCCTGGGCTCGGGTTATCTTCCTCATTCTGCTCATCTGCCCGAACAGAGTGTTCTTGCTTTGCAAAGTTGATAAAGCTTTATTTTATTTTTTAAAATTAAATTTACTTTTTCCTTTATTTTATTTTTTAAAACTTTTTAAAATTTGTTTATTTTTGTAGGACTGTGAAATACAGTTACAAAGTTATTCACAATTGGGGTTCAGTCATCCAATGTTCCAACACCCTTCCCTTCACTGGTGTACGTTTCCCACCACCATGTCCTCAGTTCCCCCCCTTCCTCACCATCTGCCCCTGTGGCAGGTACTTTTGTTTTTTCTCTCTCTTGTTCTCTCTTTCCTTTTGGTCATTACTATTTGCAATGCAGGTACTTAGGAGGTTATCATGTTTATCCCTTTACCTACTTTCAGCACTCATTTCTTGTCCAGAGTGATCATTTTGTTATTCTTTTTTTATTGCTTTTTTTGTCACACCCAGGTATGCTCAGGGGTTACTCCTGGCTTTGCACTCTGGAATTACTCCTGGCAGTGCTTGGGGGACCATATGGGATACCGGGGATTGAACCCGGGTTGGCTGCGTGCAATGCAAACACCCTACCCACTGTACTATCGCTCTAGCCCCCAGAGTGATCATTTCCAGCTATCATTGTCATAGTGGACTTCTTTATCGTAACTGCCCTCCCCCCATCTACCACTTGTAGCAGGCTTCCAACTGTGGGCCAGTCCTCCTGGCCCTTGTCCTTAAAGGAGACAACTCATCTCTGAAGGGAACAAATACCCACCAGAGCATGGGCATTTTTGCTCA